AAAATCACAATAGACATTTATACACCATTCGATAGAGAATTTCAAGGGCTATATTTTGCACTATTTTGTTTTCGAAAAGAAACAAAGTCACTTTTCCGCCTAATGTCCGCCTGGATGCCCACTGTGCAGGTAGGGCGCCTATTCCAATAGGTTCCACTGGAAAGCTCCGGTTATACCTGAGAGGGTCTCCTCGTCAGCACACCTGAAATGTATGGTAATTCCAGCGCTTAAAGGAAGAACCCGTTTTTAATTGTTTCAAATCAAAACAACAGAACGTGATTGATTGGAACCGAAATAATGAAACTCATATAGGACTTTACAGTACACAAGAATAAAAATGTCTGAGAATTAAGCCTGTAAAAAGAATACACAAAAAGAACAAAGAGTTTAAATAATTTCAGTAACGTCCGGTGGTCGAATAAATGTGTGTTCATCACCATTAACATCCAAGCATACTTTTTCAATTACTTGTTTAGTCTTCGTTAAACAATTGTTTAAATACCTGATTGATTGAAGTACTCCAAAAGATTGCTAGAATATAGGAAGGATTGATCTGTGGAATCAAAAAACTAAATTAAGTAAAAATATAACGGTGAAATTATTAATTTAATTTGTTGCTTGCAGTGTTTCCTTATTACAGCAAACACAATGACTCCTTTGTTCAGTTGTACTTATGCTGAAGATACATCGTATCTACAATTTTGAATGATATAGGTGGCTATAGCACAGAGTTTCAGCAAAGTCGCAAATGGTGTATTGGCACGACTGAAAAAATTATCTGCTTGAGAAGAGTCGTGAACTGTGCACGAAAAAATTTTCCATCACACTTTTCGCGCGTGGTCACAAATGAAAACATATGCGACCACGTGTGTCGAAGTTTCTAGACCTTTTGACGCGTGTTCGCATGTGAAACATTTTTATGAAGATATTACTCTAATCGAGACTCCCAGCAGAAGTCCCGCGGGAGTCCCGTTTTGTGTAAAAGTCCCGCGGCGAGTCCCGATGGAGCCTCGCCGGAATCCTGTGGAAGCCTTTTTTATCAAAAAATCTATAGGGAGTCATACTGGACTTCACAAAAAGCCCCGCGGGAGTCCCATACACAAAACATTTTATTTTTTGAAAAAATCAGTATGAATAAAGAGGCAGGTAGTACATTCAGAAGATGTACACAACAAATTCAGCTCTCTGTTTCCTTATCTAAATAGGACTCATTTTCGCTGGTCACAAAGTTACAGTATCGGATTTTTGGACAAGTTTTGTTTTGAGACACATCTCTTTCACAGATTAACTAAGTCCGTAAATGTCACAAAAAAGAATGAAAAACAACAACTTTTGATATAAAAGCGTCTCTTAAAAGGAATGTTTCTTAAGATAGCTGAGACGCTGATTTCATCGTGTTTTACCTGGTTTTCTCTTCGGGATCATAATGCAATCGGGGTCAATCATTAAAATAACCAACTTACAGAGTAAGTACATATCAGTTGCAGTGAGTGAGAGAATAGGGATATATAAAATCCTTTCTATTTTACTGTCGTATAGTTGCTGTTTTTCTCCATTCATCTCGGGTATCAAAAATGGTTCTTCTTATCATGAAATACACCAAATATAAGGGCTTTCTCAGTGTATAGACTCAGTTTATGTTTACTGTGTGAAGATCTCAAAATAAATCTGTACAGACGTGAGAAACGCATGAAAGCTTGATGTTATAACAATTGTGAGTATCCTCGGTGTAATATCGCTCTGCCGTTAGTGACTCTCAGGATGTAGCCCTGATCAGTTCGGTTCTGTTTGACGCACGGAGGATTGGGGCCCAGCCATTCCGCCTCATTCGCAGAATATTTAGATAAAGAAACAGAGAGCTGAATTTGTTGTGTACATCTTCTGAATGTACTACCTGCCTCTTTATTCATACTGATTTTTCCTTTTCAGATAGAGATTATAAGTTATAATCACGACAAAAGCATTGTCTGCTCGACGAACTCATTAAAATTTGATTGCACTATGTTCTCGAAGAAATGTCCGAGTAAAACATAGTGGAATCAAAGACAGTTCGGAAACGTCTTAAATTAAATATTCATCAGCTCTTTTCTGCATTTTGAGATCCCTTCGGCCTCTAGAAAATATAACCTCAAAAAGTTATGATTAAAACGGTGAGTAATACTTTTGCAAAAAATAAATTGAAACATAGCTGTCTTGAGGACTCTTGTGGTAATTTATAGGGACTCCCGTCACGGAATCCTGCCGGGACTCTCGCAGGACTTTTTCCGGGACTCCGAAGGGACTTTGACCAGGAGTCTCGACTAAGGTACGCTTTACTTTTTTGCACTTTTCCAGATGCTAGTATGGAATAACAATGGCTGAAGAAATTCACACCAACCGGTCATTTTTAAACAAAAGTAAATAATTATTTCGTTATGTGAAAGCCGTAATCTTCTACTTTATTTTAATATTAAACATTATTTAAAGTTTTGCAGTACATAATTTATTAGAAAGGAGTTCTAAAATATCTGAATTTTATTACAATACAATGACTCGACGTTATCCTTCAATATATTTCTTCACATATATGTTTTTGTGCACAGTTTACGACTGGTCACAAGCGGATAATGTTTTCACACGTGCCAACACACTATTTACGATGTTCATCTGCGCTCACATTCTGTTTCACGACGTTTACGGGTGTACACGCCGCGGTATCTACCAAAATTTCCCAATGCGTAATATCAGTTTTTTGTGAACTATTTCCTCAAGGTCTTCTTATCATCACAAGTAGATGATAGCCGCTGTGGAAACTGAAGAGAAAAGGTATTTCTCATCAGCATAGAATGGTTATAGCTAATTTCAAGGTATGTTTTGATTTGTCTCAAATAAAACCATCCCATATAATAGGTGTTTCTTTAGCAATGAATGTAGAAACTTGCTTTGCGATATCATGCCTCAGTGAATAAGTATTTTTAATATACACCAGTGCGTGTCTTACCTGTTTTTTACTTAAACCTTGTACTATTACTACAAAATCGACTAAGATAAAATAATCGAAAGCTACAGTTGAATCATATTATTCTTTTTCATAGATTCTCTATACATCCAAAGTAAATATAACCGACTAACAGAGTGCTTCCATTTTCAACTGTACTTTTATCCATTTTGAGGTTGAAAGATGCCATGGTTTGGTTCACACGAAGAAGCTCATGGATCTGTTTTTGGTGGCGGACAACATGAGTCTACTTGGTCACATGAACTCATTGGGGTATGTTATTTGCTTACTATATCCATAACTTTTAAACCGATGTGCTTCTGATATTAGGGAGCAGCTGGATTTGAAGCAATGCGCTTGTGGGAGCAGCAGCATCCAGGTGATTCACATCAATTGTCAAAAGAAGTTTTGGCTGGTCTGGCTGCAGCTGAAGTTGATAAACTGTTTGAATCAAGAGGATTGGATTTCTTGGATCGAGAAACAGCCAAATTTCATGTATGTTCAATTTTTAAACCATCTTTCAACATTCTAATTTTGTTCTATATGTCTTTCTAGGCAAGACAGCAAGCGGAAGCCATATATGATCAAAGAGGATAAACTCTGCAATTTTACCATAAATCCATAAAGAGCTACTGTATTTCAGATTATAAGATGGTTGGTTTTTGAATAAATCGAAAACGAATAGCGCTATAAACTTGTGGTTTTTGCTGTTCTGTACTATAAAGGATGTTTTCATAAGCAAAGGGTATTTGAAACTATATATAAAGGGTTTTCAAAAAAACCGGTTCGGTTAGTTTGGTTCAAGAACATTGCTCTTCGGCATACGATCTTGCACGCCTCAACTGAGATACCCCTAGAATAGTCAAATAGCACGGAAGGCTTTGTGGAATAAGAGAACTTTTGTGATGTGTTGCCTAAAGTTATATCTCCTATTTCTTCTTCGGATAACAATAGGAATGTCGAAAAGATTTTTAAAGAAAAGAAGAATGAAAGAAATTTTAAAGATGTTGCATCAATATTTTCCCATTGAGAAGTTCGAGACAAATTGTGTTGTTGTATCAGCTAAAAAAACTTACAATTCTAGGTGATGAAGTAATGGTAGGTAGAGAACTTCTCCAGGAGAACTTCATTTTTATTCCTGAAGCACTCGCTGTTTTGTAAAGTCAAAATGCGATAGATCTTTCCTGACAAAATTCGATATTTCTCCACAAGAACTTCATCTATTTCCTCAAAAATTCCATGTTTCTCCACATGGTCCTCAACTTTCCTCCTTAAAACACTCGCTGTTTCGCCACGGGAACTTAATCTTTTTTCTAGAAAAACTCATTCTTTTCCCATAAGAACTTCCTCTTTATTCCTGAAACCTGCTCTGTTTCGCAACAAGAACTTCACCTTTTTTCTCGAAAAACTCGTGGTGTCTCCACAAGCACTTCCACATAAATTTGAGGTTTCTCCAGAAGAACTCGGTCTTTTTCCGTGAAAAAATAGACTCCATAAAAGCTACACCTTCCCTCACAAATTCCATGATTCTCCACATGGGCCTCAACTTTCCTCCTCAAAACACTCGCTGTTTCTTCAGGAGAACTATGAGAAGTAGATCGAAAATCAGATTGATTATTGATGTAGGAAATAATAATCGAATGATAATTTCCATCTGATTATGTTTCATTATCGATTTATCTTCGATTAATTCCACAAATAAATTGAGAACTTTAAAAATGAAATTCAAATTTGGTTGTGTAATTATTGTTTCGTTAGCAGCCATAGTTTCATCATTATCAGAATTTTGTTTAAGTAATGATGGTTCTAACGAAAAGCTAATTATTTGAAAAAAAATATTCTTTTGTAATTCAAAGAGAAATGGAGTTTTATTTTCTAAGATTTCATCTTCATTTTATTATCTAATTATGATAACATGTTCAAATAATTGTTTGATTTCATTTTTAAGAATAGAAGTAATTAATCAACTCATTCGATCAATTGTATCATTAGTCTGTGTCCTTGTATGTGTATAATGATAATCCATTAATCTTAATAATGTAATAGGAAATGTTGAACTACCAAATCTTTCTAAAGGAAATAAAGTTATCGTATCATTCGACCAAAATTTAAGTATATTAAGAACAATATAACGTGCCACATTGGGCATTTTTTGCTAGAGCAGGCGGACTTTAGCTTTATGAGTGAACTAAAATTTCATGAACCATTTTTTTATAGGTTTTTCATGATCCTCTTTCTAATGGCATGAGAGTTGGATTTTGAAAAAGTTTTTTAAGGAGTTTTCCAGAAATTCGGTCTCTGGAAAACTCTTCAGAGAACTTTCTCAATATTTAAAAACGATGCCACTGGAAAGAGCATTGTCGAAAACCTATACGAAACATGTTTCGAGTCGTTCAGGTTACTTTATCTTGAAATTCAAATTTTCAGCACGAAATTGTTTGTGTGAATCTCAAAAACTAAGAAA